GTACCTTTTGTGCATCGAAAACCACATTTTTATTATGAATTAACATGTTTATATAGAGACTCATTTGGTCGAAAATCTTCTTCGACAGTTTTTGTTTTGCATTCTTATTGTGAGATAGAAATTTAAACCTTATACTATTGTAATATGAAATATTTTTTATTAAAAGTGTTTAATGTACGGCTCTGGTCCAGGCTGGATGTCAAAGTTATGACGTGTTAGATTGATTATCGGATGGATGTTAAAATACGTTTTACGACTTTTTACGACGAGCTTTCGGTGGTAAACCGCTTTAACAGATTCGTTCGTGATCATATCTACAATTTGGAGACAAAAAATAACATCTTATCTTTATAAAAGAAATTGAATTTTATGTTAGAAAATTACAGTTATGAATAATTCATGGTAATAATAAATCGTATATGTATTTAACGACTGCTTAAGCAACTATTACTTCTCATACTGAAAAATCATGGTTTTCACAATACAAAAACTTATTGGCGTTTATGAAAACTACTAAATATTCTACTGTAACAGTAAAGCATAGATTTTAACCTAAGGATTAAAGACGGAACCTCTAACTCCAGATAGTTAAAAGAGAATGTAGTAAGGAATACATGACAATCTTTTTAGAATACTGATGAAGCCCAGAATACATAAGTTTCATACTTTTCTTGACAATACTTCTTCTTTTTCTTATTCTTCTTTTACTTGGGTTGTATGTAGTACAAAATCAAATGCAGAAATCCACCTTAATGAAAGGTACCCAAGACTCCATCCCTCTAATATATAGTGACAATTTCAAACTATGAAAATTATTAAAAAATTTACGAATACTTAAACAATCACAAATTGTAACTCGAAAAAAAAAACAAATAAAGTTTATAAAACAAAATGTGTCGCGGGCGCACCCACCGTGTTTTACCTGTCACATATCCGGACATAGGGGTCAATGCCCCGAGACCAGCAGTGTGTGACTACCAAACATTGACTCTCAGATCCTAGTTCCGATTCACATCCGTGTAGCAGGTGGTAATCACTGGACGGTATATTTTACTGACAGCCTTATTGGTCGAGTGGTCGCAAGTGCGACTAATTGCTATTACTGGGTTTTTCAGTCGTAGTAAGGAGTCTGGAAATATGCCCGGTATATGGCAATAGGCTCACCTCCTATAACATGGGACTCATAACATAAATAGTGAAAAGTAAGTGTTACATTGCACAGTGGCATTAAGCGCAGTAATGTGCACCTCTGCACCTTCGGGGGTAAAAAGGCGTGATGTTATGGTTGTATGGGTAACAAGTTAGTGAATAAGGAACTAGATTGTATGTCCGAGCTGACTGCTTTTGTCAGGGGTTTTTTAAGCATTTAGGTATGCCACATGGTGCAGTAGGTAATAATACATTTGTCAACAACGATAGTCTATCCGCGAAAGCCATATGAGCGGATAGAGATGGGATTTTACCCGGAAAAAACCCGAATGTGGGAAAAAACCGGGAAAAAACCCGGGGAAAATTCCCGAATGGGAAAATATTCGGGTTTTTTCATATTTAACACATGTAACAAATAAGTAATGTGTAGATTATGTACATATCATATAGTACGTACTATTTAAGAACTATTACTACAAGTTAGAGCTAATCTAACTTTGTTTATGTTCATATTGCAGTAATAACGTTCTTAATATCCTTAGGGACCTACTATCAAATGAAATAAAATGAAATTAAACAAAAATCCTGTCTGTTTGTGTGTGATCCTCCGCTCTTAGCGACAGGTAACCCGAAAATACGTGAGCGGGTAGAGGGGCAGGGAAGCAGGTAGTAGAGGGGCGAGCGCGTTGGTGATCTATCTATCTCACACGTTGTTTCGGCTTCATACTGTGCGCACTCGTGTTAATTTGTTGGTTTAATTGACGACTTGGATTTTGTTTGGTGGACTTTTGGTTACCTAATCCTTTGAATTGACAACAACTGCTACTCTTACGGACTTTGATACCTACTTTTTTTACGAACGAAATTTACCGGTAAATTTACAGTTTTGTAACTTTTGTAAAGTATAATAAATGATTGTTAGTAAGAGTATCTCTCGTTGTTTTAATTATATTATTTTAGTCAAACATTCTTTAAAGTTTAATAGGTATTTTTTCTGCTGTTAACATTCCATCACAGAGCGCAGTAAAAACTTATTATAAAACAAGAAGACGTCTTTATGGTGTTATAATAAATATGCTGGTTATGTTTTAGTCCTTGAAATAGACTACACATTTTAACGTTTCAAATAACAGACAACAGCTAGTGCCTTATACACGCTGGTGCTAAGTACTACTCTGTCAAGAAAGTACCGGGAAAAGATCAATAATACAAAAATGTCTGTTATTCATCCAAATTTATTTTATCACCTTTAAACTGTCAAACACCGAGCGGTCGGTGTTTGACAGTTTAAACTGTCACCGGTGACCGCAACCTATTGTTCTTTAATTGTCTGTAATGACGGTACTCAACGAGTTAAAGTATGCTCCTTTAGAGACGATACACTTGCGCCAACGAATAATCTATTCATCAAAACATTTTTTAAACGCTGCTTCCAGAATTGAGTTTAGTTCTCGCCGCGAATTCTCCTTTACGTCTTCTATCGATTGAAAACGGGTGCCACGAAGTGGTAATTTGAGTTTAGGAAAAAGAAAAAAGTCAGCAGGAGCCATATCTGGTGAATATGGTGGTTGCTGGATGGTATTTGTTGAGTGTTTGGTCAAAAATTCGTTCACCTTGATGCCACCAATGATAGCCTTGTGCGAAGGCGCTTTGTCGTGGTGCAAAATCCAAGAATTTTCTTTCCACAAATCTGGCCTTTTTCGTCGAATTTGCTCTCTTCAAATAATATTCTTTATTTACTGTTAGACTTTCCAGTAAGAATTCAGAGTGCACAACAGCGCGATAGTCAAAGAAAACAGTCAACATGACTTTGACTTTTGATCGACTTTGGCGTGGTTTTTTCGGTTTCGCTTCGGTTGGAAGGCGCCACTCCGAAGCTTGTTGACTAGTTTGCATGCCAAACTCATAAACCCACGTCTCGTCACTAGTAACAATGCGTTTCATGAATGTTGGGTCCGAACTGACTCGTTCTAACATATCCTCAGCGACTTTCATGCGATTGAGATTTTGGAGAAAATTTAGATCTTTTGGAACTAGCCGAGCAGCCACATGTTTCATACCCTTTAATGTATAGTATAGATTAGTTAAAATGGTATGGATCGACTCGTGAGATACAGAAAGTTCGGTGGCTATCTCTCTCAGAGTTGAATGGGGATTTTCAGTCACTATTTCCTTCACTTTTGCGATGTTAACTATAGTTGCAGACCAGAGCGAGGCAAATCTTCCATTACATCTCGAACGTTTTGAACCACTCATAAGCACGAGTTTTTGATAAAGTCGATTCACCGTAAGCTTTCTGTAACATTTTCAGTGACCCCGAACACGAAATTCCATTGGCGATGCAAAATTTAAGACAAACTCTTTGATGGATATTTGTGTCCATTATGAAATTCACAATACACATTATATAATAATATGATATTTCTGAAACCAGCGCTGTATTTAATATAACCATAAACAAATCATCCATTCCCGATACATTTTTGAGTGAATGTTTAAATAAATAAATATAAATGAAAATACCCGCCTGTTGGGTTTTTTCCCACATAAAAACCGGGTTTTTTCCCAAATGGGAAAAAACCCAGGTTTTTTCCCTTTGGGTTTTTTCCCAGCGCCCATCTCTATGAGCGGAATAAGGAACTACTTTGGACTGGGCACCAGTGATCTCTAATAAAGCTGAACCTTTTAAACTGCGAACTCGAATGACGTCTACCAAGCGTGGATTTGATGGTAAACCAGAAGCATAGTGCACTTTCACAGATTGTTAGTAGACTATACTAGTACTTAGGGCTGATTTTCCAATCAATAAATAATTATTAAACTGTCAAATACCAAGCGGTCACCGGTGACCGCAAGCTATTGTTCTATAATTGTGTCTGCAAAACCGGTACTCGACGAGTTAACTGTTGAATAAAATTGACATTGGACAGTTTTTAGTACCTGCGAAATATTGTCAAATATTTAAAGTTAAACTGTTAAGCCTTACTGTGTCACGAAACAGCTCTTATACTAACGCAACCATATAAAACTAGCTAGGTTAATGCATGTTTCTAGACCTGTAATTTTCTATTTAAATCCTTTTTAACAATATCAAATACCTAGTACACACAGACCTATTTCCGCCATTGCAGATCTAATCCTACGTGACAGACGTAGCCTTGTGAACCATACTAAACCCATTAATTACAAACTTAATCACTGTCACCAATCTTTCAATACTAAACAGTTCCTTAATTTATATCAGATCTCCTTCGTAACCACCTGGGTGGTAAATCTAGTTTTTGTGGCAATTTAACACTAAAAAACTTATACTCTAAATACCTGTTTACATTGCAACAACCCGCTAAATAAGGCTCTCGATACATGAAATTAAACGACTTGATTGGACAAGTTAAATAAATTGAATCTCATTTATTTTTATTTCTAGATTTAGCAATGATCTAGATTTGATTCAAAAGTAATTTTGTATAGTTAATAGGTGCGAGATTAGTTCTGTGCTACTGGGAACTTGTACAGCCGGTCAGTCGCGGCTGTAGTAAATATCTATGAGAGTTGTTACTAGTTACTGGACCAGCTGGAACACAACGGGTGTTCTGTCTTAGGTACATATTGATTTGTATAGGCTATCGGTATTTATTGGACGTCTCATGTCAAAACATAACAATCAGGTGAACCAGATTAAAGCGAAATGTTGACTTCACGTTGTTGACGAATCACTAGAAAGGAAGGTGCCGAGATAAGTAGTGTCTGCATGGTGATATGCCAGTATTAGATTCTTATAGACAGTTAATTATCCCAAACAAAAATTTACTTTAAAAATTAACTTTAATAATCACAGTTCCCCATCACAGCAGGTTGGCCAACAAGTGCAAGCCTGTGTGACATCGGAAGCGGAAGCTGCTCCCACGCGGGGAGGGTTCCGGCGCACGCGCACGCCGTGATCTCTGACGTCACTTCCGGACGGGCCTTGATTGAGAGTGAGGTAACGGTTAATCACTGATTGCTAGTTCATTGTGTGACCACTGTTTCAATTAGGATTAATATAATTTATAGAATAGATTCAGGCGTTACTTCTACTGTCAGAAATCCAATGAAGGAATAAAACCTAATTATTTTCCTAGTTGTAAATTAATATTATCTTTTTCAAACATAACTAAATTCGTTCTAAGTTACTCTCTGATTATCTTATTCAGCTCACTTTGTGAATGTTGCAATAAAGATGATATTTGGACATGGGTGTTCCACTGCCTCAAATCACAAAGCAATACGTCTTTTAATTAACATTCGGATTATATTCCAGCCAATCCTCGACACATCCTCACGCAACACATTCACAATCATTATTACTTATTTAGTTAAACTAGAAAGTTGAGCACTAAATCATCTTGAGCTTAAAAACTTCTTACGTTTCACATGCACCCACATCCCACACACTACAACAGTTATGCGCTTGCAAAGCAAATAACATAGAATTTTCTTACATTGTAAGACTCCATAAAACAAGAGACTACTACAAACTTGAGTAAAATATAATTACTATCCATTATTACGTTTACCAACTACATACGTCAAGACACACCTACACTTTGTTCCACATTCGTACTTTCAATCAATGCCATTGTTTAACTAATTACAGCCTGTCTTGCCGCGCAATTGTAATGATACAGTTTCGTTTGTTTCAAACAACACCAACGCACTTATACATCAAAAAGTCTCACCGACCAGAGACGCCGGCTCAAAACTGATTCGTAAAATGTAATACTATAATTTGCCATAAGCAACACTTAATATCTCTCGTTATCTCCAACTCGCGTACACTCGCGCCCGCTCTTCAATTTGCTATCAGTATCAAATAGATGGTGCAATAATGCCACGTGTCTCAAACGTCCGAGATCTAGGGGTTCACATGGTGACCGAGCTAACGTTTCGCAAACACGTCACGGATCTATGTAGCAAATCTTTTAGACATTTAGGGTTTATATTAAAATTCTATATAATGCATTGGTTAGAAGCCATCTTGAAACTTGTGCTATTATTTGGAATCCACATGAGGACAAATACATTAAGATGTTGGAAAAAATACAGAACAAGTTCACAAGATTTTTGTATTTGAAATTGTATGGGATTTATCCATTTTTCCCATTGATGTACCCAAGTTTATTCGTCCTGGGGACAGTTGGGTACAATACACTAGAGGTGCGGAGAGATGTGGCACTAGTTAAATATATCGCCAGGGTACTACGAGGATTAGTCCATCACCCGGAAGTGTTGGAGATGTTGGGATTGCGTGTGCCAGACGGATACGTAGGGGCTCGTCGACGCCCCACCCTGTTGGAAGTGCCAAGGGCTAGGACTAATCTTCTTAAATATGCTCCTATTTCGCGTGCTATTCGGATTATAAATAGTGTACCGGAGCATGATTTGTTCCACAACCTACCAAGGTTTATTGAAGCAGTGCAAAGGCATATTGAATATCACCGTATTGAGTAATTGGGTCTGTATGGTTATAATATGTATGTCATACTGAGAGTATGTAACTCTTATAAATCTAATAATTAAGGTGAAAAATTTATTAATTAAGTTACGTGTTAGACTTAAATGTGTCAGGAAATGTGATATTGCATTGGAATAAACTGTAAGATGTCACATTGTAAGGTGTTATAATAAATAAATAAAATAAATAAATAAATAAATAAACTTGAAGCGTTATGCCTCATAAGAACCACGTAATAGGGCATCTCTTAAAAGCCGCCGAATTATCATAATGAGCAATAACCAATTGCACGAAGCTCACGTCAAATCGGCTTAACTCATGTAAATTTATGGTTATAACTCAACTTTTTTGTGTTTTAAGTCAAATTGCTGAGCGTTTCAAGCGATGAGCCACGACGGGCCCTATTAGCGGCCAAATGGCGTATGGCGGGAACGATTCGTGAAAGAAATCAAATTACAATAACGATGCACGCTACACGGCAGTCCACCACCGATACTAAAATAACGGGGTACGTCTAATTTATAAGAGGTAAATTGTAGGATGCCACGCGCTAGAGATGTGTCATTAGACGGCCCTCGTAGCCCAAGAATTATGTTTGGTTAGGTTTGTTCAACGATGATTATATGTATTAGTGAAACCTCAATGAAACGGAAGCCCGTTGTCTTGTTGCCTACGTTACGTACTACGTGCATATGGTAGATTATTATTTCATTTCATTCTTTTATTATTGATAGCTTTTCCAAAAGGGTTGAATGTTAGTTAACTGCGCCTCATGAGTGTATAATTGTTCATAATCTATCAAACGTCTTGAACTGTCAAGAAACCAAGTGCTTGCAATAACAAAACTAATTCCAGTTACAGATCTCTCTAAGCAGTCTCTCTAAAACAAGAGCTGATCAAATAACCTTCCCAATATTTGTGTTATAACCCAAAATTTGGGTAACGAGAGCCGAGACAGTGTGTCTACGTATGTGGATGTACCGGCAGTCGGCAGCAGCGTGCAGGTAGGCATGAATGGCCGGCGCCCCGCTGCTAGTGAGTTATGTTGGGCCCCTGGGGCGCAGCGCGGGCGCAGCTCGGGCTCCTTCACACCTCCGCCCGCGTGTGGTCCCGCGGTTTACGAGCCGGCCGAAGCTGCTGCGCGCACGCTGGTCGATGCATACGATACTGCAGCAGATAGCCAAGTGCATTTTGTTTTATCTAGCGATCTGTTGTTTCGCATTCTAGCGGATCTTGTATCAATGTGTGTTACAAATCTGATACCATCTCATATCTGGTAAACCATAAATATTGCGATGCTTTAAAGTTGTTGTTCTTGTAAAAATGCTCTATACAGATCGTCGTCAATTTGCGAGATATGATCCTAGAATATCAGGAACTTTTACAACTTAGGTTTGTCAATCAAAACTAAAACGTTTACGAAACTTATCGATGGTATTCTAGGTAACTTCTTGGCTACCTTCCGCGCACAACATCCCGAACCGCACCTAAATCTTCCGGCGTTACTAGTAGATATCCTTACCGTAAGATATTATAATATTAGTCACATTAGTGTGTATATTTTACCGAGGAATTATTTTATTTGTTAGACTTATTACGACCTGCCGGGTTTCCTGAGAGATACGATACAGGCCGGTGCCATTTTTATTAGACAGGAAGGAAATTCTAACGTTTAATATATTCTAAGTAAAACGTTTGAGGTTTATTTATAACATTCGTATTTCGATCCGGTTTTAGTAGGACGGGGTTCGGGTAGAATTGAAATCGTAGTTAGGTAGTACTACAAATATTTAGTAGGTAGGTTAATTTCCTTCGGTACTTTCCATCGAATATTTAGTCGTGGTAAATCACTAGACTGCATTTCTTTTAATTTGTTCTGCACAACTTCGGAATCCTTTTGTTATTGATCCATATTATATAGACTCAGTGGAAGTCCAAACAATTACACTATTTAAAATACTGGTATGCAACTGAATGTGATGAAGACACAAAGTCAGACTCAAGCCCAACATAATTGGGAATAGGCTAAGACTAAAACATTATTCCAAATCATCCAAAATGATTATATGACGACTACAAAACAGACGTTATCTCGAAACAGAAAAATCTCAAACAAAATAACAACATTGCAAGCTTACCCGACAACCTAATTAAATATTATTAGAGTATGTAAAAGTATCCGCTCATACTCAAACATATAAAGTGATATCAAACGATAGATATAATATACACTACAAATAATTTCTCTATTACGGAAAACTAGACATAATTCGTTTTAACCAATATGTCTCGGTGCAGAGATTAGCTATATTGTTGGTATATTTCCAAGCATTATATACGTAGTTTTGTATAAAAAGGAGAGGTCTTAACACTGACAGTTCCTGCTGTAAGCCCAGTTATTTATCGCCGTCCCACTGGCCGCACTAAGATTTATGCTGTCCAGAGGAAATCATGACTGGAAACGCTTTTTGTTACGACTCTTGTGCTGATTTTTTGTTTAATATTTTACTTAACATTTTCACACGAATGTTGACGTTTTTGTTAATTTGTAATTACTTAGATATGTAGGTTAAGTAAATAAAACTGGCACATATTTATTAATGAAATAAAGAACACATATAAACGGCTTCATATTTAAAATCATCATAAAATTATGCAGTTAACAGCAAAGTAGGTCGATTCCCAGTTTCACCGTTTAACACTATAATGCCAATTAATCTAATAATGGCTATTCACACTAAAGTAATAACCTCAAGTACACTTAAATAAAACGGAACACATTACCACTTCAAACTTGATTATGGCCATATTAAAACAGATTAAAATCACATTCATATAATCGACTACTCACACTTAACTAAATTAGCAGTAAATCATAATTCGCGCGCCGTTCAAAGGTCACAACGGTCAGTTGTACATGATTATTGGAACAAAATCTCGATGCTACATAGAGATGGGATTTTACCCGGAAAAAACCCGAATATGGGAAAAAACCGGGAAAAAACCCGGGGAAAATTCCCGAATGGGAAAATATTCGGGTTTTTTCATATTTAACACATGTAACAAATAAGTAATGTGTAGATTATGTACATATCATATAGTACGTACTATTTAAGAACTATTACTACAAGTTAGAGCTAATCTAACTTTGTTTATGTTCATATTGCAGTAGTAACGTTCTTAATATCCTTAGGGACCTACTATCAAATGAAAGAAAATGAAATTAAACAAAAATCCTGTCTGTTTGTGTGTGATCCTCCGCTCTTAGCGACAGGTAACCCGAAAATACGTGAGCGGGTAGAGGGGCAGGGAAGCAGGTAGAAGAGGGGCGAGCGCGTTGGTGATCTATCTATCTCACACGTTGTTTCGGCTTCATACTGTGCGCACTCGTGTTAATTTGTTGGTTTAATTGACGACTTGGATTTTGTTTGGTGGACTTTTGGTTACCTAATCCTTTGAATTGACAACAACTGCTACTCTTACGGACT